ACCCTGAAGTTTTGCATAACAGATATAATGTAGCCTCAGTTTACTTTGACATACAATCTTATATAGAGGTGTGAAAGGTTATTATTTCTGAGACTTTTTGCTCTAGGTCATTTTCTAAATAACCAAGTATTAACATCAATAGATGTTATACTTAAGGGAAATGGAGGTCTCATATTGACAGTTGGATCCATAACAAACATCACTGATTCCGAAATGACTCCATTCACACAATGACATCAGCACACATATGCTGTGATTACACGGCTTATTCAGTGTAAATACATAAGTCACAGAATTTGTGTAATGACAATCTCACACATTGTCATTTTGCTACTTTTTTACTCTTCCTGCAGACATCTATGCATACTGACTAAATCCTAGAATCTTAATAAAATTCTAAGATCTTTGCTGCTCATAAACTGTGGTTCACCCATTGCATTAAGCCATAACTGGTTTACCTGTTTTGGCATGGCATGTATGAACCCAACCACTAACTTACCTCTTTTTATAGTTCATCCCTGAGAGTTGGGTCATGTCCAGCCTTCCAGTGATAATGGAGACTGTGAGGGAAGAGAGGGGAGCTGGGATAAAATTGAGCCTTGAGCAAAAGGTTATTCCTCAACATGCTTTATATTCAACCTTTTTCAAATTCAATTGAGACCTTACTCATCTTGAAAAACTTTATTTTAAGCCAAATTTTTTACTATTTTTCTTTTAAAACTAGAAGTCCATATTATGTTGGATGCCCTTTTACCTTCAGACACCTACTTTAGATTTAATCCTCTGATGAATGAAGATATACCTCTGGATGAAAATCGTAAAGAAAAACTGAATCTGTTGCGGACAGACGGTATCCAATATTTAGAGAGAAATGAAGAGAAGTTGAAAAAAGCTGCCAAAATATTAGCACAGGAAAAAAACGTTTTTCAGAAACTGAGTAACTGGATGAGATTAAAAGCTGATATGTATGATGGCCTTCCAATTCTGTCAAAATTGTGAAAATGTAAAATGCTACACGTCATAGGTGTAAATGGTTGTATATGAAAAGGGATCAACATTTGTTCGTCATTGTGTAATCTTTTTTTTTTTAATTCAGTGAGCAAACACGCTGTACAAAATGCATTTCAATCTCAGTAGCTCATCACTAGCTTCTTTGATTGGATCTGAAGATCCTGTGTGCAACCAGAAGGAAAACCTGCCAATCTTTTCCTTCCTTGCCCCCCAGTCTGCCGTCCACACGCTCAATGTTTGTCTAGGCCCTTGAAGCCAGTATTTGGCAGGACATGAATGTGCATATCAGCAGTAATTATGACCATTGCTGATGCTTTTTTCTACAAGCAGAACTCTTGTGAAATTTGGGAATTCATGATTTTATGATTTCTTGAAGTATATATGAGTGTTAGCTTTCAGAACCTCACTTCACTACTTAAATTCAAGTGCTGGTATAATTTTTTTTAAACCTGATGTCTAAATTTGTAACAATTATGGTACAAAACTTTCATTATATTGTGAACGCACACCAAAAATCATGCAGTTTACAAAATCATACTGTGCTTATGTGTTATTGGAAGATTACAGCGTGAGAAGAACCATAGCAAATACCTTGTTCTGCAAATAATTGAGCCAGAGTAAATAAAACCATTTAAGTCCCATTGAGATTAATGACAATAAACAGTCTTAAATCCATTGGTAGTATTTCAGCTAGTTTGCTGATTGAATTACTATATATATTATAGACTTGCAGTACATTACACTGCCATTAAATGTCATGAAAATTGCCTGATGACAAGATTTGTGCATGTAAACTGTTTTGTTTTAAAATGTTAACAGTGTTTTGTAGTGTGTAATGCCTTAACCTATTTCATTTATCCGATTCAGTATTTCACATATTACAGTAAAATCCATCACACTTAATATCTATTTATTTTTCAAAAACTTTTAAAAACATTTCAAAGATTCTGGTCCAGAACAATTAATTTGCTACTGAAAAACAAAACCCCTAGAACTAAGTCTTGTAAGAAATAAAATAAATATGCAAAGGTATATCTTTATGTCTTCATTGTGTGTTTTTGTTTAGTGATATGAAATCATTATGCTAAATCATGTTTTCATATTTAACCTATGAACCTACATATGCATGTTTTTTAAGTCAGTAGCAAAAGAAGACTTTCCAGTGAGGAAAGTTTTGGCCAAACTAATAGCATTTTCGGTGAATAGGGAAGTCCTAACTAAAATATGGAACAATGTTGGCAGCTAACAGGGTGTCAGAAAGACAGGCACATTGTGATTAGTTTGGTTTTGAGTCAGCAGGTTTTGGAAACCCTACCATTGTGGTTTGTAGGCTATAATTTGTGGGGTGACATGTTAGTCATTTGTGGTTTGTTCAGTAAACCATGTTTAAACTGGGTTAGTGAAATAGAACCAAACAAATGGCTTACCTGTGATATGCGTTTCCTCTGTGGTAGTAGTGAACAAAGCTATGATTTGTTTGCTTATAAGTCACAATTGGTTAGATCCATGCAAAACAACCTGAGCCATAAACAGTGGTTAATAACCACAACAGCTGAGTTCACAAAACATACTAAGTAAAAACCACACAAACCGCTTAGCACAGTGTGACAACTTAGGCAAAATTCATTGTTAAGTGGTGCAGTCATTAAGTGAGGCATGTGGCTGTACCCGATTTTAGAACCTTTTTTGCCGTGGTTGTTAAGTGAGATATCATGTGACTGTGACTTGTGACCTTCCCTGCTGGTTTCCCCGTTGACTTTGCTTGTCAGAAGCCAGCTGGGAAGGTTGCAAATGGTGATCATGTCACTGCAGGACGCTGCAACCATTGTAAATGCATGGCAGTTGCCAAGCACCCGAATCATATCACATGACTGTGAGGATGCTGCAACAGTCATAAGCATGAGGACCAGTTGTAAGTCACTTTTTTCAGCATTGTCATAACTTCGAATCGTCACTAAATGAATTGTCATAAGTCAAGGACTACCTTTAAAGATAAAATTATTAACGTAAAATTACAAAATTTAAATGCGAGCAAATCCTATAAAATTGCAATTAATTTTACAATGAATAATTTAAATGCTATAAATAACTAGGATAGATAACTATAAAAGGACATAAGCAATAGTAGAATTTATAAGACACTACAAGAATGTAAAGCTATGCTAACTTATCTTAAATCTAATTTTTGCTGAAGCCCTGCTAGGGTTTGTTGGGATTAAGACAATTATGGTCCAACCAATTATAACAAATAGCAAAATAAAACACAGAATAGTATGTGAGGAAAAAAGAAAACAAATGGGGAGTTGGGAAAGGAAAGAAAGGGGGCAAAAAAAGAAAATATATTGAGTTACGGAAGCCCAGTTAAGGGTCCACATGACCTCACTTGGAGGAATTGTTTATGTTTAGTCATAGCTCTGACACAGAACTGGGGTACATTGGCTGAAACCCCTGCCTCCTGGTTAAGCTAGTAAGAGACTAAGGTAATCAGCTTCCAACCTGCCCGGGTATTGTGTTATACATGGGGAAATATCTTGTAGATTTCTGTAAAAAAAGCAATGCAGCAACACATGACCTATAGTTTTAATTTCCCCCTCACCACAAGGACAGAGCCACAGCTGTTTTGGTATCTTATAGAACCTTCCCTCCAAGAGGGCCTAGGATATTACAGCAAGCAAGAGTAAAAGCTTTTTTGGTGTTTTGCGGGACAATATTGTAGAGGTAATGTACCCACTTTTTTGTGGGTTCACTGAATTAATATATAGTGGAGCCTGGTTAAGATCATTTTGCAGGGCCGTATCTCTGGCACAATGCTTGAAAAGTGCTTTGGTCCAATCAAATCCCATTGGAATCAATGCACCAGAGGAGAATCCACAATGGTTTAGGGTGACACCAAGTAATTTTCACTAAGAAATCTGGAATTTGTCTTGAAGAGTTAGAAACCTGGATGGAAAATTAATTTGAGCTAATTAACTAATTAATTAATTAACATGTTCTATTTGGGTGTGAGTTTTAATTGGAACCATTCCAGCGTCAGCCCAAAGGGATGAGTTAGGGGCACAACAAGCAACCAAAAACAGGTTCCTTAGGAAGCTTGATTGTACAGATTCTAATGGTTCTAGGTTCTTACATGCACATATTTGGAAGCTGTAGGACAGCTGTGGTATTACTTTGGCCTCAAATACTTTTAGTCCACCAGGTATATCATTACTTCCCATCGTGCGAAAAAAATCTTAGTATGGCATCTACACTTCTTCTGACCTCTTTTAGGGACTGAATTTGGGGCCTCCATGAGCCAGTGGCATGAAAAACAATTCCAAGGTATTTGAAGGTCTGAACCTATTCAATATCATTCTCATTTATTTGCCACCTATGATTGTGTCTAGAAAGCTTCTTTGAAAAGACTTAATTTTTTTTTTGTTTAATTATATTATTGTCTATATAGTAGGAGGCAATTGATTTTAGAGCTCTCCTCAAACCAATGGGTGAAGTAGAAAAGATGGCTGCATCATCTGGATACAAGAGAATTGCAATAGGTCTACCGGCCAGGTTTGGAGGATGATGTTCTAATTTTGTGAATCTTGCCACCATATCATTAATATAGGAATTAAATAATAAGGGGGCTAGAATACAACCCAAGGTTGTATTACACCATTATAAGTAGGCACCAGGTCAGAAAGATGTCCTTGGTTGTCAAGTCTTATTTGGATGTAAGTATTGTTATGCAGCATTTTAATGAGTGCTAACAAGCGTCTAGCAATAGAAGATCTCCAGTTTTGACCACAGTCATTCTCTGGAGACTGAGTTGAAGGCTGTTTTAAAATCAATGAAAGCCACATACAAAGCTCCCTTGGGGCGAATATATATTTCTCAATTAGATGTTGTAGGACTAAGCACTGGCCCATGGTTGATCTCCCTATCCTGAACCCAGCTTGCTGTTCCACAAGAACGGTCTCCTTTTCCAACCAGTCCATGAATTTCCAGTAAAGATGTCTAGTATAGAGCTTACTGATAATACTTAGTAGGCTAATTGGGCAATAATTGAATGTGTCAGACCTCTCTCTCTTTTTAACTATAGTGACAATAATAGAAGTGTTCCATTCAGGGGGCATTTTTAATGTTTGATTTATAGCTGTAAACAGAACTACTAGAATTCATGCTCACCGGTGTTTAGTTTAATCAGCTCTGGTAGAATGATGGGGGCTTTGCCATTTTTCAGATACAATTCGTGTACAATTTGTTTGGCGATTTCATTTGGGGGGAAAGTAGGCCAATATGGTAGGTTCTCCTGAACCTCTTTGGTGATTTTAGAGTTAGAACTTTCAGAAGCATGAAGTGATTGGTAATAAACTTTCAGTAGTAGCAGTAGTAGTAGTAGTAGTAGTAGTAGTAGAAGAAGAAGAAGAAGAAGAAGAAGAAGAGGAAGTAAAAGGACAACCTTAACAGATACTGTATATCCTCCAAATATTCTTATTGTAATTCTTTGTCCTCCATCCAAAGCACGAATCTTTCCCTAGACCAGTGTTTCTCA